TATGCACCAAGAGCTTGTAACACTCCAAAGAGAAAGGAAAAATTTAAATTGCATCATATGACCCCTTTAAAAACCTGCAGAAACCCCTGTATTAGGTATTTTTGATAAAATATGTGACCAGTGTTGTTATTGTTAACTAAAACTTTTTAAATTGTTTTGGTTAATTGAAATTTTTGTTCTGGAAGTAAGTACATTGTTTAGCAAATCACAGATCTGCTGGAGGGCATCTAACTACCTAAATGTGAAAAAGAAACAGCTTTGACATTTGTTGCAGAAATTTACCATAATAACCAGACACTAACAAAAAAATACTCTGTTACTAGTACTACTAGGGGTGTAACGGTATACGTATTCATACCGAAAATTTTCAGTATGGGTCTTTCGGTGCAGTACACATGTGTACCGAAAAAACGGCATGTTTTAACCACTGCATGAGTCGAAGTTTTATATATTGTTACTTTTGATAAGAAAGTCTTGTCTTTCAAATTGTCAGGTTTTTTTGCAGGAAATTCAAACTATAAATTCCACTTTTAACGCTCTTTGATTTGGTGCGACAGATCGCTGTAGAAACGCCTCCGTTTAAACGTCAGCGTGGAGCGCGAGTAACAGCGATCATCCCTTCCTCATTACTACTAGTTTTAATGCGAAATAAACATGAATGAACATCTCATGCCTCATGTAATCACTCAATCAATGTTTTAACCGTGGAAAGACGTCAATAAAACAGTTTGTAAACAAAATGTCACTTTGCATTTAATTTACTTCACGCAAGTCATCAGTGTCCACAGCTCATTATTCGCTAGAGAAATGAAGTCTAGAGAAGAGCATTTCGCGAAATATATGACTATATACTCATTATATTTAGCTTTTTCCCTTTTATTGATGTCTTAATTATTTAATGTATGTTTAAATAAATCTGTTATGAAACAAGTTATGACAGCCACTGTGTAAATAAAATATTTCAACAAAAAATAGAAATTTTGTAATTTAGACGTTAATTTAAAAACAGCATTATGTGCAGTGTATATGTTTGCATACAATTTTATTGTGTTAACTATTATATTTAAAAAATAAATAATTGCAATTGCTATAAATGAAAACCTTATAATAATGTTAAAGGGCTCCTCATAGTTTAGAGCAGAAACTGAGGTAGATTTTTATGCCTAAGAAAATTGTAATTATAATTTAATTTATTTAAAGAAAGAGCAATTAAAATAAAAAATTGTTTAGTTTTTCCCACTGCTGTACAGAAACCATACCGAACCGTGATGTCAAAACCGAGGTACAAACTGAAGCATCATTTTTGTGTACCGTTACACCCCTAGTTACTACCATAGTTGTTAATACATGCCCAAACCAAGGTATTTTCATGGTAGTTGTAGCATGATATTTTTTAAATACCGTGGAATATAATGTAAAATCCATCGTTTATGAATTTAGTAATCATATTTTTATAAAATGTGTGACTAGTGTTGTTATTGTCAACAAGAACTATGAAAAATAGTTTTTGTTAATTTAAATAAAGCTGTAATCAAAAAAAGAAAAATTACATGAAAATGTAAAAAACCTTAAGTTCAAGCTGAAGTACAAAAATGACTAAGAAGAAAATCAATTAAAACTGGCTATAAATATATTTAACAAAAAACTAAAACTACTAAACATGACAAAAGCACAGTAAAATTAAAATGAACTCTAAAATGATGAAAGTAAAAGCTAGTTCAAAAATATGAATAAATGCTATATACATAATAGTAAACAACACTGCTAATGGCATATCTGGGTGTTTCTTCAGGCAGGACGTGGCTTACCAGATGCGCACCAAGACCAAAGAGGAGTGTGAAGGGCACTACATGAAGAACTTCATCAACAATCCTCTGTTCTCCTCCACTCTGCTCAGTCTCAGACAGATGGAAGATCGCCTGTCCCGGACAGCAGACACAGCCATTCCCTTTAAGCGTAAGTGAGCTCCAGAAACAAGCTACTGGTCTGTTCATTCAAATATATAAAAATCTAAATATATATACAAGGTTTGAACAAATTTTAAGAGTAATCATTCTAATAAAATGTCATTAAAATTGATACAGACAACTTATGCTGTTTTTTAATGTAATAATTACTCTCTTCAGTGTCATCCTTCTTTAATACACTTAATGGACACTGTGTGCCGTTCCCTCTGGCTGTGAGCTGTTGTTATCAGTCAGACCGTCTTTTCTGCAGGAAATCTGTTTTTGTTCTAATCTGTTGTTCTTTCAGTGTGGTCGTTTGTGTTTTTCATCATGAGCTCAACAGCCCCTGCAGGCGCTGATTTATCACACTTTGGCCAGACAGATAAACCGCATGAACACTAGATGTGATTGTCTGATTTGTTTAGTTTTTAAGGCAAATAAACCCACAGAGACCATTCTACAATATTGAAACTGTGACGATTGGTGTTTGTTTATGGTATATAACTATCTTTTTAGGCAGTAGTAGTCAAGGATTGTGTCTTGTGTCTCTTTCAGCCACTGATGATCCTCCAAGGCCTTCATTCGATTCTCAGCTGTCCAGAGATATGGCTGGATACATGCCGGCTCGAGCAGACTTCATGGAGGTCAGTGGTCTAATGTGCTGTCTGTTGAAAACAAATTAATTTGTACATTATTCAAATCAACCCCCTCTCTCTTTTTGTCTCTATGTAAAATTAGGAGTTTGATAATTATGCTGAATGGGATTTGAAAGATATCGACTTTGTTGACGATGACTCTGATATTCTTCACGGTAAGTATATATTTGAAAATACTTTTAAAAACAGCATTTTCTTACCTTTATTTTTTTTAAATAAAAAAATCAAATAAATGTTACATTGATGTTTAATTCTGTTTGAAACATAACATTTTTTAACATAGTCTTTGCATTGTATACATATTTATTAAAAAAACAATGCATGTAAAAAAATATAAAATAATTTATTTATTATAGTTTTTTTACATTACAATATCATCTATATATTTAAATGTTTTTGAAAGTAGTTGCTTGTCACTAAAGCTGTGTGTGTATATATATATATATATATAGTTATATAGTGCTGGGTAACAATTAATCGCATCCAAAATAAAAGTTTTTGTGTACGTAATATGTGTGTATTTTGTGTATGTTTATTATGTATACAGTGGGTACGGAAAGTATTCAGACCCCCTTACATTTTTCACTCTTTGTTATATTGCAGCCATTTGCTAAAATCATTTAAGTAATTTTTTTTTCCTCATTAATGTCCACACAGCACCCCATATTGACAGAAAACACAGAATTGTTGACATTTTTGCAGATTTATTAAAAAAGAAAAACTGAAATATCACATGGTCCTGAGTATTCAGACCCTTTGCTCAGTATTTAGTAGAAGCACCCAAATATACACAGTACACACATATATTATATAAACTAAAACTTTTATTTTGGATATGATTAATCCTAACCCTACTTTCAAAAACATTTCAAAACAACTTCATATATAGATGACAGATTGTAATACATAATTCAGTAAATTGAGGGAATTTGCACGTAGTAATGAATTTTTCTTTGTAAATTTTAATGAAATCACAGTACAGTGAATGCTGACTTGTTGTTAACCTCTGTTTACCATACATTTTTTCAGCACTGAAGGTTGCAGTAGTTGACATATATCACACCAGGCTTGAAGAGAGACAGCAGAGAAAGAGGTAAGTAGGAAAACACATTGTACTGCCATAGAACAACCACTCGAGGGCCTCATTTGACTATTAAATTAAACCTAAAATTGTAGCATTCATTTTATTTCCTTTTAAAAATGTTTCTTGATAAGCAAAATACATGCTATAGTGTTAAAATAACTACTAATTGAAGAATCAAAGGAAATTATCACATGCACATGCAACCCACTGAAATGTATTACTGAGTTCATCATCTGGTGTGTAAAAATGTAACCTAATCCATAGCAACTGATCAGCCAGCCTGATTTTCCCCAGAACAAAAACAAACCGCTCTAGTGGTAACAGTAACAGTGTGTAAATCAGCATTAATGAGGCCTGGCTGCCCTGTAAAGGACTAGTGGTATGTGTGTGAGCTTGACCTCAGCTCTGAGCTGGAGTGGAGCCGCAGCTGTCGTCTGAGATCTCCTGCAGAGCGGCAAACTGACCAGTGACCCTCCGCTTCCACACAACATCTGAGACCTGCACACCAGACGCCAGTCTCCCCGAACACATACCACACATGAGATGCTTTTAATAAAACATAGCCCTCAGCTCATAATGCCAAGCGTGGTCAAATGTAGCAGCAAGCCAAGGCTGTGCATTACAGTCATTTTACCACAGTTAAGTCACATTTATTGTCTTCCTAAAGCAATTCTGTAGATGCTGTAAAGAATAGACTGTACATGATGGACAATTTAAACAATAACATAAAATGAATTTACCATTGTTTTCAGGCATAAGGCATGATGTGAAGTCATTGTAATGCACAGCCTCAAGCGATAAGAAGTTGCATTCAGCAGTAAAAATCACAATAAACAATTTATCTGCTAATAGTAATATACAGAGGTGCTGAAATCTATAACATGAAATATTCTTTAGACATCATCTTTTCTCTTTTCCTCTTTCCTTCCTTCCTTCCTTCCTTCCAAAAAAAAACAAATTATATATATATATATATATATATATATATATATAACACTGTATATAGGTCAATATGATTTTTTCAAATAATCATTTAAAAAAAAAATACAGTACTAAAACGGTAATATTGTGAAATATCATTACAATTTAAAATAACTGGTTTCTATTTTAATATTTTATGTATTTTCCTGCTTAATATTTTTGTGGAAATTGTGGTGCATTTTGGGGATTTGAAAGAATTACTACATTACATTACACTATATATATATATATATATATATAAACCCTAACCTAATATCATGTACACTTGGATATATTTAGAGCCAGATCTGTTTTTATAATAGTCTATTTAAGTCTTATTAGTCATGCTTAAGATCACTTTGAGTTTGATTTGCTTCTCACAGAATACAGTGTGAACTGTGACCATTGTTGTCTTTCAGGATCATTCGAGACCACGGCCTCATCAACCTACGCAAATTTCAGAGTAAGACATCTTTTTTTAAAACCTGATGTTTTGCATCATATTAGCCAAGTGCTCTTGCCATCTCTTGTACTCCGTTGTGTATGTGAGGTTGTAAAGTATGTTCCTCATGCAGGTATTTGCAGGTTGCTTTCAATGCACAGACCAGAAGTTACTGCCACAAGATAACCCTTCCTGACCTCCAATAACAGGAGCCATCTGTGCCAAATGTTTACAATGAGTTCTGGAATACAGCGATCCCAGAGCTGTTTTCGCCAGCTGTGATTGCTCCCCTATGAATAGTTTGGCATGAAATGAACATTTCAGCTGTAATGACAAAGGAGATTGCATCTTTACGAGCTTTTATTGATCCGCGCCCTCTGGGCACCGTGTCGCTTCTCTCAGTAAATAGAAACCCATCCCTGTCTATTTCCCCCTGGACATTTCGGTTGGCCAGCCGGTTTCGATAGGAATATGCTTATCCAATGATTTCCTCTTTGCGTGGAAGCAGAGAAATCCAATCAGGTTTGCATGTTTTCCTGAGACGTATTGAGTGTTTGTGATGCGAGGAGGGCTTTAAGTCGTTTTTATTTATCTATCGTCTCCCAGCCGCCCTCCTTGTCTCCCTGCACTCTCAAGACAAAAGCAAGGCAATAGCTACCGTGGAGCTGCAGACATGTTGTCATGGAGACTGCGAGAAAGTGTGTGTGTGTGTGTGTCTGTGTGTGTGTGTGTGTGTGTTGCGAGTGATAATGGAAGCAGTGGCCAACCTGATGGTTCGCAGCGGTGTTGCTTTATCCCCAATTCAAGAGAGCAAGACAGCTTGACCTGGCTGTGTACACACCAGCCGGTCTCATATCCCATCAGCCACTGCTGCACAGAGGGCACTAATATTGTAGTTTGATACATCTTGACTGATGTGTGTATATATGATTTTTATAAAGTGACAGGGAGAGGTGTGTGTTTCTGGGTAACATCTCGGCAAACTAACGGAGGCATAATATCACACCTCACGCTCACCCACATAGCAGCTTTCTCTTTCTATCTCTCTTGCTCGGTAGCAGCAGGGCTGATTGCTGATAGTGCCGCTCGCTCAACCCTTCCAAGTGAGCTGAGCTTCAGTGGTGGGTGAAGAACCATCAGGGAGACTTTCACAGGGCCACTCGGCACAGCTGGACTCTTGATACATTGCTATTGGCATTTGCTTTTCAAAGAAAGCCAATCAAATGCAGCTTTTCTGATGTAGCAGGTTAGCTGTGTTCCAAAACCTTGTAAGCTCCCTACCTAGACATAATTTTAGGGCCTCAAACATATCCTTAAAGTGTAACGCGATCTATTTTCAACCCGCTTTGTATTGTTTCAGTGGCAGTGGTATATGTAAATGAACAATGTTTAGTTATTCACTGTTACATGGGTAGAGACATTTATTTTTATTTGTTAGCAAAACTTTCATGAAGACTACGGATTTTACTTCCGCATTTTTGTATGGTCGCCCACAGACAGTTTTTACCCTGTCAAAAACAGCTCTGTTTACAGCACGCTGTTCTAGTCCATGTTGCTTTAAATGCTAATGAGCTCTGCTCACCCCGCCCCTCTCTTCCATGGGGTGACAAGCCGTTCTCATGATACTGTTTACTTTTGCCACGGAACTTGCTAACTAGCACATTATTAGGAAAGGCGATTTGCAAAGATTCATAGAAGAAACTTATACGCCCTTCTTCTGGAGGTGAGGCTGGATCACGAATGATTCGTGTGAACATAGACGCATTTAGGCAGATCAGAGGATGCATTCCCTTCAAAAACAAAGGTAATCCTCTGCATCTTCAGCAGCTCAGATGCATAGACTGTATAAAAACATGGGTGTAGTGTCTGTGACGTCACCCGTAGATTTCTGAAGAGCATTTTTGAAGCTCAAAGTGGGCGGACCGGGCCATCGCCATCTTGGCAGCGCGTCACCGCATGTCACTCCCGGATAATCGAAAATGGGCAAAAAGGTGGGAGCTGGTTGCTGAAGCCATGCCCACCTAGCTCGACGGCAGTGTCAGCAGCAGCAATCCACCTGTCACTCAAGTGGCCACGCCCTTAATTATGCAGAACTTTAAGGCTTAATATAATTTAAACGGATGAGTTATAAAAAAATTCACCCCCTCTCACAGTTGTCATGAAGGGCAAAATTAACTATATAGACCAAAATAATTTTTTGAACCAGGCTGTAAACATGTTTTTTTCTGCTGTAAAGTTGGGCATTTTAACATGGGGAGTCTATGGGATTGACTCCCTTTTGCAGCCAGCCTCTAGCGGCCAGTCGACGAATTACAGTTTAAGTCACTTCCGTGTTGGCTTCACGAGAGGGAGCAGCAGGTTGCCGCTTGCTCAGATGTCGGGATTAAATGTAGTGATGTCCGGTTCGCGAACAAATCGTTCGATTTAACCAGTTCTTCTTAGTGAACCGGTTGAACCAGTTCACCAAATCAGACTGAATCGTTTGAAACGGTTCGCGTCTCTAGTAAGCATTAATCCACAAATTACTATAATAAGTTATTCACTTTTTTAACGTGGCTGACACTCCCTCTGAGTCGAAATAAACCAATATCCCGGAGTAATTCATTTACTCAAACAGTACACTGACTGAACTGCTGTGAAGAGAGAACTGAAGATGAACACGAGCAGAGCGGCATGTGTGCAGCATGCCGGGTTATGAACGTACACGCCCACTGCTGGAGCGGTTCTCCAGTCAAGAACCGGTTGCAACGGTTTTCGGATCACCAGTACACTTAACCGAGAACCGTTTAATTCGGACGCGTCAGATTTGAGAACCGATGAGCTGATTCTCGTTCTCGAGTCAAGAACCGGTTGCATCGGTTTTCAGATCACCAGCAGTGTTGCCAACTAATTTTCAGGGAAGTTGCTAAAGGAAAGTCGATTTGTTGCTAAATGACGTGATGTCATTGCGCGATGACATCATTACATAGTTATGACGCAAAAATGTGTCACTACATCAAATCTCAGCAAAAAATATATTTCATATGTTAATTTAGATTTGTTCGTAAAATAATATAAATACATTACATAATAACAAAATATAAATAACTGTATTTTTAAATACAACATTGAATTATTGAACACTTACACATTTTTAAACCATTACAATTATTTATTTATTTTATTAGCTAATAAACTAATAAAACTAGACATTCTGAACAATTATCGTTTTAAGCAGTGTATTAGTAGTTAGTTCGTATGCTACACTCTAAGAAAAGTCTGTAAAAATAGGGCACAATCTACTATGTTAATATGAAGGAATTTTCCGTATTGATTTTTCAAGGGTTTTTTTACCTGCATTTTAAATTACCCATTGTATTTTGTGTTTTCGGATTACAGGGTTACAACGGATAATGGATAGCACATAATGTCCTGAAAAATTACTAGTACCTTTTCCATTTTTCTCTATTTTTCTTACAGTGTACTAACTGATCAACAATCACAGGTACAAGCTAAGGTGTATCATAAATTAACAATTATTCAATTATTATTATTAAATTGAACCGATTTGAGAACAGATGAGCTGATGATACTGCGCATGTGTGTAATATTTCTTTTGGACAACTGATTCTGTGCTAATGTTATGAGCGCGGGTAAACCGAAGACTTGAATGAAGGGCAATCTGGCGAAACGTACGTTTATTTAATAACAAATACATCGCAATTGATTATGGTTTCTGCGCTGATGACAACTAATTTATTTACTTTATATCTTCCAAGACTTAAATCCTGGTATGCACATCACTGCCTGTTACTGTATTTGGGTGCTTAGTTGCAAAACTTAATTGTAAACTTTTCAGATCATGATTATGATGTTTTAACTGACTGAAGTTATGATTACTGACTTTATATATTTGAATGTGTATTTTCATCCCGGCCCAGGACGATAGACTTGATATCATTACGTCATTGCGAATGACGTTCGGGCGTAAAATAACCGATGAACCGTTTTTTGTGATTCTAAGAGTGCTGTTAGCTTAGCTACATGCTAATATCTAACTATTGGAAACAATTGTGATTTGAGTTTCCTGTGCTCTTTGCATGAGAGTGCTGTTTACCAAATCAGTCACTTATAAGGTTTCATTTCATATAGGATGCTGACTTCGAAGGTAGCTGCCTATGTAGACAAGAAGGTTGTCAAGAAGGATTTAGAACAGAGCCATTGTGTTTTATTTACTTCATCAAATTGATTGTGCGCTTCTGTTGTTTCGTCAGTTCTGGAGAGGCGTTATCCTAAGGAAGTGCAGGACCTTTATGATGTCATGAGGCATTTTGCACGTGTGGTGGGTCCCATAGAGCACGACAAGTTCATCGAGAGTCACGCCTGTGAGTACTTAACTCTCTTTTTGCACACTTGATGTATAGGATATCATAATTTTGGTCTATATATACAAGACTCTAGTTTTCTTCCTCAGCTGACCCAGGATGACTCTAGCCCTGTGTTTTGTGGTGTAATGAGCGTGTGCAGGACAGTTCGGGTTAGATGAACAAGCCCCCATGTCATTCGTCAGCGCTGAGTCAGAGTTCAGTCTGTCCGCCCCAGTAGTTTGAATCAGTCAGGTGAAAAGTTCACCGCTCTGTCTCTCTCTCTCTCTCCTTCTCTCACGCACTCGTTCACAGTGGAGTGTGAGCTGAGGAGGGAGATCTGCAGACTGCAGGAGTACAGGAGAGAGGGAATACAGTCCTTCTGCGGTAAGATGCACCCTCAGGAATGTATCATGGAAGGTAGCTTAAATCAAAATGAGGTTAAAGGGATAGTTCACCCAAAAATGAAAATTTGCTGTTAATTTACTCACCCTCAGGACTTCCAAGATGTAGGTGAACACAGTTGCAGCTAAAAATTTTCTTTAGTGTTCTACTGAAGAAAAAGTCAACTACATCCTGGGTGGCCTGAGGGTTGGTAAATTAACAGCAAATTTTTGGGTGTACTATCCCTTTAAATTAAACACAGTCAGCAAGTCAGTATTTCACTACTAAAATGACAGATCCATCTGAATATGGTCCATACTATCTACGTCAGCTTTTTGTTATTGTTAATAAGACGTCACATTTGAGAGCTTTGCTCATCTGGCCTGCAGGTGCTAAAGTGTACGAGAGAGTGAAACGCATACGAGAGGACGAGCGCAGGAAAAGGAACATGCTGTGTGACGTCCTGCAGTACATTTACGACGCTCGTGCGTGCCAGCAGTGGCTCCACAAACAGGCTGCCATGTAAGAGCTCTTCATTAATGTCACCGTACTCGCTCTCTATACTACTACTTATTACAATACTTCATACCAGTTTAGTTTTTTAATTTTTACAAACATTTTATGTAACTAATTCAACTCAAAATTATCTTACCACAGGAAATAAGAAACTAACTAAAACTACTATGGTGTTGAACACTGAAGTATTATAATAAAAATATAATGTTAAAAAATGAATAAATAATGTTGTTAAATATCGTAATATATTTTATATTAACCTTTCATATTAGTATATGTTAAATATTTAAGCTGTTCATCTAATTATTCAATTAAATGGTCTGCAAAAAAAATTATAAATATATATGTATGTATGTGTGTGTGTGTGTGTGTGTATATATATATTAGTGCTCTCAAACGATTAATCGCTTCCAAAATAAAAGTTTTTGTTTACATAATATATGTTTGTGTACTGTGTAGTATATTTATTATGTATATATAGAGACACACACATACAGCATATATTTTGAAAATATTTACATGTATTTGCATGTATATATTTGTATAATATATAAATATATTTAATATATAAACGTGAAATATTTTTATTTTATATACATGCATGTGTTTGCATTTACATAATAAATATACACCGTACACACACATATATTATGTAAACAAAACTTTTATTTTGGATGCGATTAATCGTTTGACAGCACTAATATATATATATATATATATATATATATATATATATATATATACAGTGAGTACGGAAAGTATTCAGACCCCCTTAAATTTTTCACTCTTTGTTATATTGCAGCCATTTGCTAAAATCATTTAAGTTCATTTTTTTCCTCATTAATGTACACACAGCACCCCATATTAACAGAAAAACACAGAATTGTTGACATTTTTGCAGATTTATTAAAAAAGAAAAACTGAATTCTGTGTTTTTCTGTCAATATGGGGTGCTGTGTGTACATTAATGAGGAAAAAAATTAACTTCAATGATTTTAGCAAATGGCTGCAATATAACAAAGAGTGAAAAATTTAAGGGGGTCTGAATACTTTCCGTACCCACTGTATATATATATATATATGTGTATATATAAAAGAAGTCTCTTAAGCTTACCAAAACTATACTTATTTAATCAAAATACAATAACACTGTAATATTGTGAAATGTTATTACAGTTTAAAATAATTGTATTCTATTTGAATATATTTTAAAATGTAGTTTATTCCTGTGATGATATAACTGAATTTTCAGAGTCATTATTCTAGTCTTCAGTGTCACATGATCCTTCAGAATCATTCTAATGTGCTGATTTGCTGTAAAAGAAACATTGCAAATTATTATCAATGCTGAAAACTGCTGTGTTGCTTGAAATGCTTGTAAATGTTTCGTTGAAATGTTACATTTTTCAGGATTCTTTGAATAGAAAGTTCAAAAAACAGCATAACAGCATTTATTTGAAATAATAGAAATCTTTTGTTTTTCCTTGCTGAATAAAAGTATTCTTAAAAAAATAAGTATTTTGAACAGTAGTGTATAATAATAGACGTATTAAAAAAGACACTGTTTTCACTATTTGTAAACTTACTCTTATTTACTCTTATTCCAGCATGACATGAACACTCCATAACTCATAGTTATAATGTTATTGTAATATTGATTTCTCCTATTATTTTTAATATTTCATTGTTGCCATGAAAGCACTGATGTTTCTTTCATATGCTGTTTATTAGTATTGCATATCATATGTGATACAGGTTTCTTTCTGCCTTCAGGTCCACAGTGTATTCTTATTCAAAGAACTTGTGGGTATTTGGCTGTCAGTTTGTTAGCTTCACAAAATTTGTTGTTGGTATTCAGCAAAAGTAGACAAAGTAAAAGTGAATGATGAATCAGGCTCTCTATTTCTATTTTATTTTGCTGAGAACCCCAAGAGCCCCAGCCAGTCTTTCAGAGATGTTTGTGTGAATAATGTTTTGCTTGGCTGAAGCGGCTGTTGACTGTGTTTCTCTCTCGCAGTGATGCAGGAATCACCCCTGTGGTCACCACTATCACTACCTCAGGTACAGTGCTGCTTATTTCCTCCATTTTTCACGCTATGTCTCCTCTCCTCCACTCAAGTCTCCTTTTGCAATCTTTGTGATGTCCTCTTCAGCCGTGAAGCCGCAGGCTCAAACACATTAATCTATTCTCTGAGATGCACCGCTGTATACGCGCAACAAAAAAATAAGCCACTCACATTTCTTTGTGTTTCTCTCGTTCTTTCACATTTTCTCTTTTTGTCACTTCACTGCACAACTAGGACATATTTGAATGCATATGAATCTGATCAGACTCTTTGGATTTATGCGGACGTTCAATTTATTTATGATACTGATAAATAAATTGGGAGAGTAGTTATTTTTAAATCATATTTTAAATCAATTTATTGAAATCCCCATTTCTCAATACTGTTTATACTAGTCAACATTTGAAGTGGATCAAAACCTTTCATTAAAGTTGTCTTAAAAACCTAAAACCAAAATGCGTTGGAAATATGGAAATATGATTTTCAAAAGACAAGTTGCTGTTTAATATAACACCCAGATTTTTGACTGTAGAGGAAGTAACAGTACATCCGTCTAGTTGCAAGTTGTAATCCAAGAGATTCTGTGTACTGTTTGTTTGGTCTAATAAGTAATATCTTTCCGAATTGAATAGGAGAATATTATTGATCATCCAATCTTTTACATTTTTAACACACACTGTTAGCTTAGATAATTTAGAAGTTTCATCTGGTCTCGTTGAGATATATAGTTGAGCATAACAGTGGAAACTAATCCTGTATTTTCTAATAATATTACCAAGGGGCAACATGTATATTGAAAATAGCAGAGGATCTAGGACAGATCCTTGTTGTACTCCATATTTTACTGGTGATAATTGAGATGACTCCCCATTTAAATAAAGTGGTAGCGATCGGACAGGTAGGATCTAAACCATCTTAAAGCCTGCTAACAATCTTAAACCATCTTAAATCTTCAGTTATTAATGCAAAATTACTAATTATGATTTTGTGAAACAGTTGTGTCAGGCCTACTGTAATAATAATAACAATTTTATTGTTAGAAGTAGTAAGAAGAACAGCAATAAATGTATTTTGCAATGCAATTTATTAACTAATATCTACTAACTAACAATTAAATATGACTTCGGCCTCAATAAAATCCTAATTTTGTGCTTATTAATAGTAAGCTAGTTGATCAGTTTAAGCCTGGCTCACACTATAGGATATTTAGCCCCGATTTCCCCCTCCTGAGAATCTGAGCAAAAATCTTGTCGAACCCCTCGATCGGTCCCGATGTTCGGCGCGGATTATCTGGTAATGTGAGGCGTTCACCGATCGAATCTTGCACCTCCGATCTGCTCGCACCCCGATCATATCAAACATGTTTGATATTAAGGATTTAAATCGGGATGATGACGGCTATACGATTAGGTCAGTACTTTCACAATACCCAATGCGCTACCGCAAAACATATTTTACACAATTAAAAAATATTTAACACTGAACATTTTTAACATTCTTGCAGACATTATTCCAACAAAGCACAATTTAACACAAAATTAATAAGGTAAATAAGGTTATTATAAAATAATAATTTTTGGCCATCTGACCCCCTTCTTGAATCAGGCATGTATTTTTTTTACTGTACAATTAAAAGCAGCCTTGCTGAAAAGAGACGACTTTTAAAACATTAGAAAATATTACAGATCCTAATTTGAACACTAATTACTAATAACACTAACCTAACTTGATGTGTGTATGTTATAATAAATGTATTACAATACTAACATTTATGAATGTTGATAGGAGTTCTTGCTTTTTCTCAACTTTTATTTTGGTGGAAACGCGCAGGAAGAACTCGATGCTTATTTTTGTTGACAACAGATTTATAAATGAGTCTCATTACGAATACGTCGTACGTATTGCATTGTCACATGCCTTGTAAAAATTCATAAAAATGTGACTGAGCAACGGACGACTGTATCAGCGCAGGTTTTCCTTGCGCTTTGAACTTTGAACCCTGGTTAACAAGCAGATCTGCTGCGAGTTCGTGCAGCGCTGTCAGAATACATGCAATGCGCGCGTGTATTAAAAAACAATGTTCTGCAGGTTATTTACTAATTGTTTAAGGCCATTTCGCGATTTCAGTCATCATACAGTAACCAGCAACAATCACCCCTTCCTCTTCTCATCGAAGACATGCGATGCAGTCCTAAACAGTCTCTCGCTGTCAGTGCTTGTAATGATTTTTGCATCTTTCTCCAACAGTTGAAATGCTTCCACACTGCTGACATGTGTGCTACATAATAAAGAGTGCGCGCCTCTCACTCTGCGCTGGTTGCTATTTGATCACATCATATCATTGTTTGGTACAATTAATTCGTTTTTTTTCGCTTATTATAACACCGAAAGAGCTTTTTTTGCTATTTTCGGCCGAATAAATTCAGGTGCCGAACATTCGTTGCATCCCTAAATGTAATCATGCAGAATGTGCTTTATAAGAACTAATAAACAGCCAATATGCCAGTAATATGCATGCTAATAAAAAGCTAGTTAATAGTGAGAACTGGTCCCTAAACTAAAGTGTTACCATGTGTTTTTATTGAATGCAGCACAACATTCAAGAAACTGGTAAAATCACTGTAATGCATGCTAATAAAATAAGCCCCAGTCCTGGGGCTTATTGCTTTGCTCAGTTATTTGTTACTAGATCACTTGCTGACTGCTCTTGATGAGGAGAATCTGAATGATCTCAATCGTCTGATCCACAGGCAGAAGAAGCGCACCTCCTCTCAACCTAACAGGACTGCCTGGCACCGAGAAACTCAACGAGAGAGAAAAAGAGGTTTGGAAATCTTGATTTTGCTTCTGGCGCGAGCTCATTTCGAAAACATCTGCCTCATTGATGTGATCTAATGGATCCTAAACGATTCTCTCATCATCTCCCTCAGTTATGTCAGGTGGTTCGTCTGGTGCCTGGGGCGTATCTGGAGTACAAACAGGCCCTTCTGAACGAGTGCCGGCGGCAGGGGGGTCTACGGCTGGCACAGGCCCGATCGCTCATCAAGATAGATGTCAACAAGACACGCAAAATCTACGATTTCCTTATCAAAGAGGGCTACATCAATAAGGCTTAGTGTTGATTGAACTGCTGCAAGGACATCTGATAGATGAAGACTCATACTCGTTGTGGATCATTCATGTTGAGAATGAGCAATGAGAGGTGACAGGTTTTAAGTACACTGGTTTAATGTACTTTATTTGAAGTCATTGATTCCTTACAGATCTGCACCTGTTTGTTTTTGAAAGACTGACAGGGTGCTCCTGTAAAGCTGTGTTTGTGTAAAAAAAAACTGCTGCTGTTTGTACAGGTGAGAATCTCACACTGTAATATTAAAAGTCATTTTATTTGTCTACATGCCCTTAAAATGGTCGATTAACTTTTGAACTCTGGAATTGTTAGATGAATATCACAAGGTCTTTGAAGAACATTTAAATCACAAAATCAACATAAATAAGTAAATTAATCCTGTTTTTTTTTTTATTGCTGTGGGGTGCTCCTGTAAAGCTGTGTTTGTGTAAAAAAAACTGCTGCTGTTTGTACAGGTGAGAATCTCACACTGTAATATTAAAAGTCATTTTATTTGTCTACATGCCCTTAAAATGGTTGATTAACTTTTGAACTCTGGAATTGTTAGATGAATATCACAAGGTCTTTGAAGAACATTTAAATCACAAAATCAACATAAATAAGTAAATTAATCCTGTTTTTTTTTTTATTGCTGTTGTTTGTGATTATTAAATGTACGGCTGTAAAACATTTTCATGACAATTCTGCATATAATTCTTTTTTTTTTTCTGAGGAAAAAATATAATTTATATTATAAAATTGCATTTTATAGTATGCAATTATTATATTGTGACTATATAATTATATTGTAAAATGTACAACAATATTTACTGTACTGCCTTTATTAAAATTGAACCTGACTGGGCTAGGTTATGCAATACGAAAACGTAGGGGCGGCTGCTCTTGGTGGTCAGTCATTGGGAAGGAACCCGTTTGTTACACATTTCCTCTGTGGTGCTCTGATGCTGAAGCCCCCGGCACGCTCCAGAATCCCGCCATGGGATTTGGCCGTGGTTTTGGAGGCACTCCTATTGATCCTTTGGAGGAGGTTCCAGACAGATTCCTTACAATTAAGACTGTCTTCCTTCTGGCCATCTCTTCCATGAAGAGAGTCGGCAACATTTAGGCCCTTTCTGTGGCCCCTTCATATATTGAGTGTGTGCCTGGCATGGCTAAAGATTTCTGTACCCGAGACCTGGGTATATTCCTAAAGTGCCCTCCTCCGTTTCATGGACAGTTGTGCTGCAGGCCTTCTGTCCTCCTCCCTTTCCGGGACCCCGACCAGCAGAAGCTTAATTGTATGTGTCCATGGCAGCCTCCAAGGCCTTCTTTTCTGGTGTTTCTGTGTCTGACATCTGTAACGCAGCGGGCTGGTCCACGCCGCTAACCTTTGTGAAGTTTTATAACCTTGATATTCATGCCACGCCTGGCTCTTCTGTTCTCTCGCCTTAGTTGTGCTTTTACACACTGGGCAGGGATTTGCAAGCATGGCAGCATGGGCATACTCGTTCCCAAAGCGCTCCGACGCAGCATTCCCTCAGGGAACTATGGTTACATACGTAACCTAGAGACGTTTTTAGCAGAGCGTGAGTAAGGGCAATCATCCCTTCCTCTTTACTACTAGTTTTAATGCAACATAAACTTAAATGAACATATCATGCCTCAAGTAATTGCTCAGTTAGTGTTTCAACCACAGAAAGACATCAAAACAAAATGTCACAAACAAAATATTTCATTTACCTTTCATTTACCATTTCGTGAAGTATTAGACTTTATAGGCTACTAATACTTTACCTGTTAGTGATGTCTTAATTATTTAATGTATGTTTAATTAAATCTGTTATGAAACAAGACAGCAACTGTGTAAATGAATATGTTTCAACAACAAATAAATGTTGAAAATTTTTTAAAAATTTTAAGTTCAATATTGATTTATTATATTTAAAAGGGAATAGTAATTAAATTTAAGTTTGGGCTCTGTTGTTAATTGTAACCTTACAGTAATGTAAAAGAGCTCCCTATATAGTTTAGAGCATAAGCTACATTTGTATCCCTAAGAAATGTATTATAATTGAAAGAAAGAGCGATTTATTCGTAACCTACTGCTTAATAAAAAAAAGAAGCAATTTGATGTTTCGTTTTTTTCCCCCTTCTATACTGAAGCCATACCGAACCGTGACATCAAAACCGGGTATGTACCGGACTGTCATGTTTGTGTAGGCTTACCGTAACATCCCTAATTACAACCTATCTTCAGTTATTAATGTATAATTATTAATTAAATTTTTATGAAATAGTTGTCAGGCCTACTATAATATTTGAACATAAATATGTTTTCAAACCAGCTAGTTTTAATGCGAAGTCTGAGAAAGAGTCAAGTCTCAAGTGGCAAAATTTACACCAGTTGAGTGTGAAATCTATTACCGTCGCCTCTCGCTCTAGTGAAGCGGCATGACGAGTGAGAGCCGTGACTAACGCTAGCAGTATTAGCGCACACGGACAACTGCTGCAGCAACCATCAGGCTTTAGCAAGCTTATCACAACAGCGTAAAGCGACGTCAGCGACCTGATTAACGCTCCAGATCCCACCTTTAATGATAAGCCCCTGCCCAAATGAGAATAAGCCCCATGGAGAAATGAAGGCCTATTGGATGGCTGAAAGGCGTGGAGTTTGGAATTGATATTTTTATTTGCGTTCACATTCCTCTAGGCGACATCTTCGTGAAGCGTGGAGGTCTTACATTATGTAGTTTCTGAATCTGAACTACACAGTGTGAAAACATGACGTGGCACTCTTGTCACAACAGATTGTTCAATTCTGTGTCCAGATTCACGTTTTCTATCTAAATTTTGAATTCAGTTTCATTTGGCAGTCTAGGAAGAAATATTGGCAACGTACAAGAGCGTAGCATCAGATTGGGATGGTAAACTGTAATGTCTTTGATCTGCGATTGGCATGTGAGTGAACGGCAGTTGACTGGCAGCAGAGCGGAAAGCCGGCAGATTCTGGTGTCGGCTCACTGTGTGGGAGGCAGATCTGCTGTTTTGCATGCTCATTCCCTCATCAAACCACACAGCCTGTCTTAAAATGAGATCTGATGCCTCCTCATGCACTCCATTTTCACACACAGTTCATAGTCATCTGCATTTCAGTTCATTTCCCTTCTTAAAAGAACAATTTACCTACTGAATCAGGACTGATGCTTTCAAACTTCAAAATGGACTGAAAATCAACATAGAAGTACCATAAAAGTACTGACATGTGACGGTTAAAATTCTTAGTACTAAATTCTTGATCAATTCTAAATCTTACAATAGCTTGAGTTGATTTGTCAGCAAATCATTTGTTAAAGGGATAGTTCATTAATTACTCACCCTCATGTTGTTCCAAATCCGTAAGACTCGTTTTAAGAGTTTTAAATTAAGATACACAAATTAAGATATTTTTGATTAAATCTGAGAGCTTTCTGACCCAGCATAGACAGCAACACCACTCCCACATTCAAGGCCCAGAAAGGTAGTAAGGACATTGTTAAAATAATCCATGTCACATCAGTAGTTCAACCGTAATTTTATGAAGCTACGAGAAGACTTAATAATGACTTAATTCAACAATTTCTCTTTCGTGTCAGTCTTCGCCACACATTCACGAGAGTACCACGACGCATGCGTGTGGTGCTGCTGACGCCGGAGCCGGCCTTCTGATGTCGAATCCGGATGTGCTGCACCTTGTTTACAAGTAGAAGACACATGCTGCACATAAAACAGCTTTCGTAAACATGTCTGAAGGTCAATCTTTTGCCCAGCCTTACTTATTTCAACCAGAATATACAGACGATGAACTAAGAGAGATTGGCGTTCTGGCATCATACACATGCATCGCAGTACTCTCGTGAACGTGTGGTGAAGACTGACATGGAAGAGAAGAAATTATTGAATTAAGTCGTTATTTTTATTATCCTTGCACACAAAAAATATTCTCAAAGCTTTATAAAATCCAACCACTGATGTCACATGGACTATTTTAATGATGTCCTTGCTATACCTTTCTGGTAATAAAAATCACAATCCAGACCCTCTCTGTGAAATGAGCTTCCAACCTCTGATCTCATTAACAATTCAACTTACTTGTTCAGTCAAGGCTGCATTCTACTGTACCTCCCCTGGCTAACTTCCCTCCATCTTGTTGACTCGAATGTACATTACCGCTTTCGATGCACAAGTGCTCAATACTGGTCAAACCCTTGAAATGGCTTGAATTGGATCTTCTTATGCCCTTGCTAGGGAGCTGATTTTCCCTTATGAATTTGTTTGATGCCCCATTCTATATGCCAATAGGTATACTTGGAGAAAATATATACTGTTGGAGAAAATGTATATTAAAAAAATATATTAAAAAAAACAGGTGGCAACGTGGTTAAATCTAAAAATATATATATATATATAAAACACTACAGTTTTGTGGGGAGGGGGTAAATGAAGCATGTTGCTATAATGTCACATGAAGTGAAGTGTACATATGAGCAGTGTAACGCATTACAAGTAATGTGAGTTACGTAATCAGATTACTTTTTTCAAGCAACTAGTAAAGTAACGCATTACTTTTTAATTTAAAAGAGAATATCTGAGTTACTTTTTCAAATAAGTAACGCAAGTTACTTTTTTTTCCAATTTATTGATTGACAGCTCTCCTGTCCCCATGTTGAGAGATAAATATGAATATGCATTAATTCATCTCACTCACAAAGAAACAAAAAACAGATTCAGTATTCCTCAAAATGAATAAAAAAATGCAACTCCGAATATGACGCAAACCTGCAATAATTAAATGTTAAACACAAATATCCTTTATGTATTTAATCCCATTCTATTAACCAATGTCTTTGCTTCTGAGCTTCGATGATCCAGTTCAACCGTACTAATAAGCTAAAATTACTCTAGACAAACATTTGTGTGTCTTTCTTTTATTGCTGAAGTGTGTTGAATTTCTTCTTCTGCATTCTACTGTACGGACGTAAATTTACATTTCCTTCAGCCTGAGGCTTATTCATTTAACTTTTGGTGTGAAAAGGCTTTTATATTTGCCAAAAATATAACTTTTTTATTTTAAAAACAAACAAGCAAGCCCCGTCCAGATTTTAAAAAGTACAATAACGCATTACTTTCCATAAAAAGAAACTAAGTAACGTAATTAGTTACTTTTTTATGGAGTAACGCAATATTGTAATGCATTACTTTTAAAAGTAACTTTCTCCAACACTGCATATGAGTATATGAGAAATCACGACATCTTTTTGTAATGTATGTCACCTGAACTGTTATTATGACCATTAGTGTCTTTTAAATTGTTACTAAAATGCTACCG